GTATATGATATATATGTGTACATGTAAATATAAAATATTTTTAAATAAAAACTGGACCATACAATGTATTTAGCTACCTGCTTTCTTCAATTACTATGCTGCGAACTTTCTTTATTGTCATTAAGTATACCTTTACCACATAATTTTAATAGCTGTATAATATTCTATTATATGGATAATTTACTAAATCAAATCCACTCACAATAGACATTTGGGTTATTTTTAATTGTCTTATAAACAAAGTTTCCTTTTAGCTAGAAATTTGCATATATCCTTATTAGGATATATTCTTAAAAGTGGAATTGTTGCATCAAAGAGTTTCCCCTTCTGTTCTTTATACAGTTTGCCGTATTTTTACGTATGTCAGTGTAACTCCCTTCAAAACATTAATTTATTAAGGAAAACTAGTAACTTTACACTGGAGGGACTGGGCAGATACTCTCTTAATCGTTATCAAAATGGAAATCACTAATAATAGTACAAATCGACCTTGTACACCTCTGTATATGAACCATTGAGAATAACACAGTATATCTTTTGTGGTGTTCCTGCCAAAAATGCATGATTGACTCTAATCATGAGGAAACATCAGACAAACCCAAACTGAAGACATTCCACTAAAATATAATTGACTTATACTCTTCAAAATGCCAGTGTTCCAAAAAACAAAGATTTGAGGAACCCTTCAGATCCCAGGAGACTGAAGAGACCTCCCAACTGAAGGCAACACATGGTCATGGGTTGGATTTTGGACCAGAAGAAAAAAAATATTTTTACTGTAAAGAAAATTGGGTCGTAATGTATCCTTATAAATTCCCTGATTTGACAGTTATACTGTAGCCGTCCACACACACACACACACACACACACACACACACACACACACACACTAGGAGACAGAAAATGAATGATAAGACAAATGATAAATGTGATATAATGTCAATAGTTGGGAAGTCTGCATATACCAGAGTTCTTTTTTCAATTCTTGCAATTTCTCCACAGGTTTGAAATTATTTCAAAATAAAAGAAAGTTTTAAAAATCCTTTCTAGAGGCTCATTACCTACAGCATCGAGTCCAAACCACTTTAAGTATATACCACCTGCTTTAACGCACTAGCCTCATCTCTCCCTATTTTTCATGCTTAGGCCTTTGACCCTCTAGCAGTAGCAAACTGCTCATGGTTTCCTGAACACACAGTGCTGTTTCATTCTTCCGTGTTCTTTTTTTTTTAAGACTGGTCAAGTGAAACAGTGGGAGTGGAGAAGGAACAAAGGAATCTATAACTGATTGTGATCAATTACTTGTAAACACCACTGTGCTGGGACCAGCCCTTCCATGTTCGTATATATACTGTTTTAATCATCACAACTACCCAGATGGTACCAGCATTAATCTAGCCCAGGGTCAAATAGCCAGTAGGTAACGGAGCCTGGAATTGAGTTCAGGTCTGTCTGACTACAAATTCATGCTCTGAGCAACTATATTTCATTGCCTTTAATTATTCACCTGTCTCTCCTACTAGACTGGACTTCCTTGTAATAAGAGCTTTAATTTATTTTTCTATCCCCAAACCTTAATCTGACCACAACGCTTGACTCATAATAGGTGCTCAGAAAAAGTATTTCCTTCCTGACTTTTTTGCAAATTGTGAGTCATTTCAAATATTCAAAAAAGATGTGTGTGGAGAGAGAGAATATTCTATCAGTCAGAACCCAGAAAAAAACAGATAGTACTCTCAAACTGGGTAATTTGAAAAGAGCGAAGAGTTTCATGAAAGGATTGTATACCGAGGTATGAACAGGGGCTCGGAAAACCTTTAGAAATGGCCCATAACTGAGTGTTAACAAGGGGACATTTTCATTTCTAGCCCTGAAGGAGTAAGGGGCTGAGCCAAAACCCACGGTGGGCAGGCCACTTGCTCTGTTACCAGGTCTAGAGTGCAGTGGTGTCATCGTAGCACACTGCGACCTCAAACTCCTGGCCTCAAGCCATCCTCCAGCCTCGGCCTCCCAAAGTGCTAGGATTGCAAGTGTGAGCCACCACGTCGGGCCTTAAGGTTTACTGTTTAAGCCACTCAGTCCGAATTGACTAAGCCAGGACTGAAAGAGAATAAAGAGACATGACAAAATTAAAACCTAATTCTGAACTGGATCCTTTGGCTCTGAAGGACATCATTCAAACATTTGGTGAAACTTGAATAGGCTCTGAGGATTAGATGGCATATAATGTAGCAAAGGTAATTTCCTAATTTTTATGGTAGTGTCTGATTAGGTAGGAAAACATTCTGGTTGTAGGAAATACACTGTAAAGTATGAGGGGGTGATGGGCATTAAGTTGGCAATTTACCCTCAAACGGTTTAAGAAAAAAATAATTTTTGTACTATACCTACAACTTTTCTGTAAGTTTGAGATTGTTTCAAGGAATGCAGCCTCGTCCTATGCAAGGTATTTATAAAAAATATTTTATATATACTAGTTAATGCATTTTTCTAGTGCATAGTACAATAAACCTTTTTTTTTTTAATTATGGGCAAAGCCAGTGCCTGACCCACACGCATTGTGAAAATTGCCTGACCTACTTTGAGGAGATAGCTTGACCTTGATCGAAATGCTTTAATCTTAACATGTATGCATTATGATTCCACTAGAAAGTGATTTTTACAATTAATATTAACAAACAGATGTA